CTCCTGCCTCAGCCTTCCAAAGTGCTAGGATTATAGGTGTGACCCACTGCGCCTGGCCTTTAGTTTTTATATCAGTATGGATTCTTATTTTTATTCAATAAAATCTGTTAGTATCATTGCTATTACCTCAATCTTTGTGTTCCTCCCCAAATTCATATGTTGAAGCTCTAATTCCCAATGTGATAATATTTGGAGATGGGGCTTTTGGGAGGTAATTAAGGTTAGATGAGGTCATGAGGGTGGGGCCCTCATGATGGGATTAGTGCCTTTACTGGAAAAGGAAGAGAAAGAAAGAGAGAAAGAGAGAGAGAGAGATTGTGCTCTATCCACAGGAGCACAGAGCAAAGGTCATATAAGGATACAGCAAGAAGGCCAAGGCAGGAAAAGAGGCTTCTTGAATTTTCTGGCACCCAGATCTTGGACTTCCAGTCTCCAGAACTGTGAGAAAATAAATTTGGGTCATTTAAGCCCCGCATTCTGTGGTATTTTGTTATGGTAGCCTGTGCTAAGACAATCATCACGCATTTCAGTGGGCCAGTGGGAGCCCATCCAAGCTGGCACCTGTCTCCTTTTGAGTTATCCTCGTCATTCTTTCAGCTTCCTTTGCTTCCTGGCACAAGATATTTCAGGCTCATCTCGTACTTTCCATGGCCCAGGCCAAGAAGCAGGCCTTTCTCCCAAGAGCCTCAGTTCCTGTTAGTGGTACATGGTATTTAGAAGCCAAGATCTGGGTGCTGGGTGTGCTTCCTGCTATTGACACATCCTTGCTCCTAGGCCGATGGACACACACACAGATCAACTATATTTATTTCTTCACTCCATCTTTATTTATTTCTATATCTAGTTCTATATTTTGAAGTCCATGAGTCCATACTGATCCCTACAATTCCAATTCAACATCACAGGGTCCCTTCTGGGTTTCTCTAGTTCCGTATTTGTAATTCTCTCCTTCAATAGTGAGAAAGCTGGCTTTCGTTGTCCTTAATATACTCGATCAATCCCTGTGTACCCAATCTTCCATTGCCACTCCCCTCCCCACACGGATCCCTCTTCACTCCATCTTGGTTCTAACGCCCCATGCCAGGACCCCTAAACACGGGCACGCCCTACTCACTCTACTCAAATTCTGATGGATTCCCCCTTAACCTGGGTAGGTTCCAATGGCCCATGCCGGGTGGCCCCTCCTTTCCCAGCTTGGTCTCTGACACTTCAGGACGAGCCACCCCATGTGTGGACAGCCTCCGCTCTCCCCACAGGTTCTGACTCCCCATGCTGCGTGGACACCCTCTCACCCTGCTCGGGTTCTAATGGCCCACACCAGGCCACCCCTGCACCCTGATGCTTGTCTTGCTCTGTCCTGCCTAATGGTTTTAGGACTGAAGAGAAGGGAAGGGGACAGTCCCAAAGCATTTATTGTTTTTATGTTAGTCTGCTAGGGCTGCCCTGTTAGGCGGGGCGGGGCGGGGTGTGGCCTTTAGGAGGTGATCATGAGTGGGATTAGTGCCCTTACAATAAAAGGGACCCCCGAGAACTGCATAGCCCCTTCCACCATGTGAGGACACAGTAAGAAGGCGCCATCTAGGAACCAAACACTAGATCTACTGGCACCTTGATCGTGGACTTCCCAGCCTCCGGAACTATGAGCAGTGAACGTCTGTTGTTTATAAGCCACCCAGTCTGTGGTGTTTTGTTACAGCCGCCCAAACAGACTAAGGCTGTGACATACAAATTTGGGGGGACACAATTTGGTCCATAACAGCTTTCTACCAGACTTTCCACGTTGCTTATTTATTAGGTTTACTGTTTATCTTAACCCCCTGCCAACCCCTGCACCGAAAGCTTCTCACAGCTTCTCGCAGCAGGGATCTCGTCACTGGGTGGTCACCGTGGCATCCCAAGTGCCTGGAGGGGCCGCCGGAGGGCTCGGACATCCGTGCAGCGGGAGCCTCACTCGCGCTCTGCCTCTGGCAGGCAAAGTCAGAACCACTGGGACCAGGTACAAACGGTTTATTTTTCTATAAAGAGCAAAGTACAAAGAGGTGGGGAGGGCAGCGAGGCCCCTCGGAGCAGCAGTGGGCGGGCCCCCGGGCCCTGGCCGCTGCCCCAGGAGTAGACAGGAGCCTGGGCGTGTCGGGGAGCAGGAGTGGGGGGGGGGGGCGAGGCGGAAGCCGGCGACTGCTGCTGGGAAAGACAAGCAGCACATGTACTCACCATCAAATTGGTATTAACTGATCAATGCGTAAGTGTACATTTAACAATAACATCTATTGGATGTCGGG